AGCAATTGGTTCTAGTAATCCAAAGTAAAATTTGCATACATATGCAAATGAGCACTAGCCAAAAAGAATGTTGTTTAAAAGTAAATTTTAAGCTTAATAAAAAAGGAGAAATTTTAAATCTCTTCTGCTACTACTTACAAAGTAAACTAAAAGTTATTATTCAAGCATTAAATCTCACCATTAATGAGACACCATAAGTAAAAAGAAAGTTACTTTTACTTGAGATGTATGCATTGCAGTATTGACCAGCATGTCTCTCTCCTCCGTTTTTCTGAAAGGCAACCAAATTGGTTGCTGTTTAAAAGAAAAATTTTTAAAAGCAACTCCCTAAATGTGGCTGAGAGATTGCTCTGGGAAAAAATACAGAGGGAAATACCTTCAATATCTAGCAATCATAATTGAAAAATCAATATATTAGGCCTCAAAAGATAGAAATACAAAAGAATTGCCGTGACCTTAAATTACTTTAAGAAATTATTAGGGGATATTATTTAGTTAAGACCTTATAAAAAAAATCTCTATGGGAGAAATGACAAATTTATTCAATATACTTAGGGGTGGCTCTAATCTTTTCTCTCACCGAACATTAACAAATGAAGTTAGGGAGGAGTTACTAAGAATTGAGCAGGCAATCTCCTCAGCCCAAGTAGCACGGGTACAGCCAGAATTGCATTTATCAGGACAGATTAACCCTACTGCAAATAGTCCCACTGGGGTCATCTTCCAAAATAAGAACTCTCCTATTATTGAGTAGGTCCACCTAGGGCATCAATCTTCTAAAACTGTAGTTAAATGTATAAAACTCATGGCTCAATTAATATCTCAACTCAGAAAGCACTGCAGGCAGTTTAGAGGAGAAGAACTCCAATGCATCTATCTTCCCCTCACTGGGAAGCAATTAGAAATGTTAATTCAGACTGATCTGAATTGGCAGACTGGACTAAGTAGATACTCAGGGCAACTTAGTTGTCACCTACTAAAAAACAAATTACTACAATTTTTACATTACACCCCTATTATTATATTTAAAAAAATACTAGGCAGGAACCTATTCCTGGAGCATTAACTGTTTTTATTGATGGTTCATCTAATGATAAAGCTGCTTATCATACAATGAATTCAGACCAAGTCATCCAGACCAGTCATACTTCTGTGCGAAGAATTAAACTCGAAGCTATCAAGACTGCATTGCAGGATTTCAAAGAGCCTCTTAATATTATCTCTGACTCTGCTTATGCTACTGGCCTGGTAAACAGAATTGAGACTGCTCAATTAAAATAGTTCAGTGACCAAAGTCTATTTATACTATTTAAACAGGTACAGCGAATTATACAGCAAAGACAATATGCCTTTTATATTACATCAGGGCTCATACCACCCTGCCTGGTCCTTTAACAAAAAGAAATGCATATGCTAATCAATTGGTTGCTTTATTAAAACAGGCCACAGAATCTCATCAGCTTTTACTAAACAATTCTCCATCACTTGACAGCAGGCAAAAGAGATTATCAAGGAATGTCCCACTTGCATGTTACATCTGCCTCAAGGGCCTAATACAGGAATTAACCCTTGAGGATTGATAAGGGGCCATATCTGGCAAATGGATATAACACACTATACTCCTTTTGGACACCTTGGGGCATTGCATGTCTCTGTAGACACTTTTTCAAAGATCCTATGGGCCATTGCATCTACAGGGGAAATGGCAAAACAGGTCCTTAATCATTGCCTAGCTGCTTTTGCTGTCATGGGAATGCCAAAAATTACTAAAACTGATAATGGACCCGCATACACAAGCTATCTTTTCCAACAATTTTATAAAAAGTGGAAAATTCAGTACATTATGGGAATACCATACAATTCCCAAGGACAAGCAATTATAGAATGCCAAAATCAGTGGCTAAAATCCCAACTTGAAAAACAAAAAGGGGGAGTAGTGCTGAAATCTCCTGTAAGTAGACTACACCAAGCCTTAATTACTTTAAATATTTTCACTTGTAACACTGATGGCAAGACACCTATGGAATTACACTGGTGTCAGAATAAACCAAAGGAAAATGGTGCGGTTAAATGGAAAGATCCCGAGTCTGGTTCATGGAATGGTCCCAACCCTTGTTATCATTTGGTCAAGGATATGCTTGTGTATTTCCAGAAAACTCATCCAAGCCCATGTGGATTCCTGAAAGGAGCCTGTGTGGATTCCTGCAAGGAATATTAAACTTCAACATGGATCTGAGAGAGGAACTGACCAGACTAATGAGGACCTTGCACCTGGAGCCTCACCCTGTATCTGCGGCTGCAGACAGACAACTACTCCAGCCCCAAAAAGCAATAGCCCCAAGCAACACGCTGAAGATAAGGAATGGGAGGAGAATGAGACAGATGACAAACAGTCCAGAGATAACTTGAAGGATGGTGAAAAAGCCCTGTCATGCTAGCAGTCATCAGTTGTGCAATGGTGCAGGTTGCCCTGGACAAAGCCAGAGGAGGTCACACCTGCATTGTCATTGCCCACCATTTGTCCACCACCCAGAACTCAAATATCATTGCTGTCATGTCACAGGGGGCAGTGATTGAGAAGGGGACCCATAAAGAACTGATGGCCCAGAAAGGAGCTTACTACAAACTAGTTCCTTAGATACCTGGCAGCATTTTAAAAAGGACATGAAAGAACTCAATCCTTTTCATTGAATCTCCTTACATTTGCCTGTTAGCATAACCACTATTGTCTGTCTCATTCTTGTTCTTATATGTTTATTTCTAGTCTGCAGATGCAGAATGAAAGTCTTTTTTTTTTTTTTTTTAAATATATTTTATTGATTTTTTACAGAGAGAGGAAGGGAGAGAGATAGAGAGTTAGAAACATCGATGAGAGAGAAACATCGATCAGCTGCCTCCTGCACATCTCCTACTGGGGATATGCCCGCAACCCAAGTACATGCCCTTGACCGGAATCGAACCTGGGACCTTTCAGTCCGCAGGCTGACGCTCTATCCACTGAGCCAAACCGGTTTCGGCAGAATGAAAGTCTTAAAAGGACTCAAGACCTACAGACAACATACATTTTCAAGATTAAGAAAACAAAAAGGGGGAGATGCGGGAGGCCATCCACTGTCAATACTATCATGAGAGTGCATCAAGGAATGCAAAAGGCCAATGGACCTTGAGTATTGGCAAGGCTAAGCACCATTGTTCGTGTTGAGAAAGTGGTGACTTGAAGCAATTTCCTGACCTAATAGCCTAAAAGTACATGTTTACTGGACCTTACTGATCTTTATTGATCTTAGAGACGGTCTGTCTGCTACCTGTTTGCCATGCTTTACTGAGGGTAAGATGTGTATCTAAAACTAAAAAAGCGGCTAAGGCGAGGTTTCAGGGTGCCTCTCCAAGAGAGAGGTCTCCACCTGCCCCCCGCCCCCATGCCTTCTAAATTCATATTTCTTGTATAGTATTTTCATTTGTGCGTTGACCCCTCCTTCAGATCCCAAACCCTAGCTGTGCTGGTTGCAGCAACACAAACACACACACACGCTGCCCTGCTGGAGCACCTGCTCACACACACACACACACACACACACACACACACACGCACACACAATGTGCTGCCCTGCAGGAGCACCCACTGTGCAGAGCCACCATCAGAGTCGAACCCTTCCTGCCTTCCCATCCCATACTTTCCCAGACCCTCGTCTTTGGAGAGCAATGACCTCCCCCCATCTCCTTCAGCCCTGCTGAAT